CAAAGATTCGGCACCCAGACCAGCGTCTATGGCCGTGCGTCCATTCGGCGCCCCCACAGCTGCTGCTGCTGCTGCTGCTGCTGCAGGGGGCCTGGCCATCAGGCTGTCAGAGGTGGACTTCACTGGGGCGGTGGCGGGGGGAGGTCTGGGGGTCAAGACGGTCGCTCTGGTCGACAACCCCTCCCTCGCACAAGTCACTCTCGGCGACGTGGCCTTCGTCCTCACCCTGCCGGCCACAACCGAGGGAGAAGCACCGGTCGTCCTGGGGTCTGTCGGCGGCAAAGGTGTGCATCTGCCATCTGGGCGGTCCAAGATCCACCTCACCGGTCAGCTGAGGCCTGACGAGGCCGACATGGCGGCCGTCTCGAGCGCCTTCTCAAGCTACATCCAGGGGGGCGGGCTGCCCGTCGACATCCGCGTGACGGGCGCCGGCAACACCACTCTGCCGCGGTGGCTCGAGACCCTCACCGCCAACTTTGACCTCAACGCCAGCCTGCCGCCCCTCCACACGCTCAGCGGTGTCACCACTGGTGCGGGTGGTGCGGTGGGGGGAGAGTTCGCGCTGATCGAGCAGATGGAAGTGACAGCATTCGAGCTCGACCTGAGCAACACCACTGCTACAGAGAAGCGTATCGGCGTGACGGGCGGCCTCCGCGCGACCCTGCGCAACCCACTGGGGGCGTCGGCGCCCATCACAGTCGACAGGCTGAGTCTCGCGTCAGATCTGCACAGGGTCGAGAACGACACCCAGTGGGGCGAGCGCTTCGGCCATCTGGAGGTGCCGCAGGACAATCTGGTCATCACACCGGCCGACGGCAATGGGACAGGCCTGATCGACCTCACACTGAAGCTGACGGGCGTCGTGGAGCTGCTGGATGGCGGCAAGCCGTTCACCGAGTTCGCCAGGCGGCTGCTGGATGCCGACACCGAAGCAGATGCAGACACCTCTGTTGCTGGATCGTTGTCGATGGGTCTGAGGGGCGAGATGGTCAGCGCAGTGGGCACCCCGATGGGCATGCTGACCCTCAGCGGCCTGCCCCTCTCAGAAACAGTCGACTTCCGGTCGTTGGGCTCTCTCCGTGACAGGGTGAACCTCACCCATTGGTCGATTGAGGGCGTCGATGAGGCCGCCAACGGGACGGCCCCGAAGCTGCATCTCGCGGCAACCGTGGAGCTCAAGAACCCCTCCTTCCTCGGCCTATCCCTCGGCGACG